GGGGGGGGGGGGACATTCAATGAGCAACAGTTAGGTTTTGAGAGAAAAAAATTAAATATGCAGAATATCACCACAGGGACACAATGTTTAAATCTCTTAAGTTTCCTAGTTATCACTTTTCTTTCTTATATCCCACAGTTTGGGAAAATTATGATTCCTTCCAACTGTCTTCTATCTTCTTTAGACCATAATTGTCCTTACCCTGAAGGAAACGGTCCAACTAGTCCAATTTTCAGATCAAGCAAACGCACACTTGTTCCTTGAGTTAATAAATGTGGTTGGAAAGAGGCAGGTGGCGAGCTCCGTTTGGGAAAGGGTTCTGGAGACGCGCGTTAAGGCTGGTTTCCTCTTCAGTGGTTTGCTTGCTCTAATTAGCTTTGAAGTCTATCAAAGGCTCCTCTGGTTGCCTCCCACACCCATCTCCTCACCTACAGTTCAATTTCCCCATGATATTTCTCTTAGAACAGGGATAGGATCCAAGTTTCCAAGTCCCTGTCTGGTGAGTTACCAGCTGTGGGAACTGGAGTGAACCACTTAATGTCCCTGGGTGCCTGCATTTTCATCCCATGGAGGAAGCAAGTCACCTCACCACCTACTCACAGGGCAGCTCTCAGCCCAGAGGAGGCTGCGAGAGCATTGGTAACTCCAGAGGCCAGTGCAGACGTAAAGAACAGGTTTGGGGGAGATGTCGTCCCTCCAGGGTGACAGCTGTTGCTGCGTCGTTCAGAACTCAGTGCTCGGCAGAAATTCTATCAGTAGTCTCTGGTTTGCGGTAGAGAGAACATTTCTTTATGTTTCAGGTAAGAACTTGTCTATGATCCACTCCAAAACGTAGGCTGTGTCCCAAAACTGCATGCCAAAGGGGAAAATGCCTTCAGATGCCCTGAAGGAGCTGGCCTTTCTTTCCCAGTACAGACTTCCCAGCAACAACACTGCCGAATACCAGGAAGCCTCTCTCCTTCCAAACCCATCTGACAGCTCTCCCTAAGGATGCTCTTCTCGGGTGGGTCAGTGATGACTGTTAGCAAACCACTTTGAAATTAGACTCTGAGCGTGCTTCCACTAGCATTTGACTGCTCAGTCACCCAGAAGGTCTGTCCTCCATAGCCTGTAAGTCCCTTAGGTACAGACTGAGACCTTGTTGGACCCCCTCATCCCAGACAAGACACTTGAAGTGCCCCTCTCCACCATCTTAATTACCTTTCTGTTGCTCTGATAAGACACCATGATCAAGGCAATGTATAGTCAAATTTATTTGGGACTTCCAGAGTTAGGGGGTTTGGAGTCCATGCCCATCATGGCAGGGAGCACAGTAGTGGCGGCAGGCAGGCAGACATGGCTCCAGAGCAGTAGTGAGAGCTTACTTCATTTTCCACAACTGTCAGACAAAGAGAGCTAACTGGGAGTGGTAGGGGCTTTTGAAACCTAAAAGCCCACCCTCAGTGACACACTTCCTCCCACAAGGCCACGCCTCCAAATCCTTTCCAAACAGTTTCACCAACTGGGGCCAAGCATTCAAATAGATGAGTCTATGGGAACCATTCTCTCTCTTTTTTTTTTTTTTTTTTTGGAGACAGGGTTTCTCTGTGTAGCCTTGGCTGTCCTGGAACTCACTCTGTAGACCAGGCTGGCCTGAATCTCACAGAGATCCGCCTGCCTCTTCCTCCCAAATGCTGGGATTCAAAGTGTGCACCACCATCACTGCCCAACATACAAATAATTTTAAACAGATTTTGGGAGGCCAGTGAGATAGTTGAGTGAATCCCAGTGCTTGTCTTAAAGCACGACTGTCTAACTCCAATCTCTGGAGCCCACATTAAGGTGGATGAAAAGGCTCTCAGACCAGGCGGCCTCAGCAGTGAGCAACGCAGCCATGGCCAAGATTAAGGCTCGGGACCTGAATGGCAAGAAGAAGGAGGAGCTGCTAAAACAACTGGACGATTTGAAAGTGGAGCTATCCCAGCTTCGCGTCGTCAAGGTGACAGGCGGCGCCGTGTCCAAGCTCTCCAAGATACAAGTTGTCCGCAAATCCATCGCCCATGTTCTCACCGTCATTAACCAGACTCAAAAGGAAAACCTCAGGAAATTCTACAAGGGCAAGAAGTACAAGCCTCTGGACCTGCGACCCAAGAAAA